CTTGCTTATGGATGGTAGTAATGTTGAATTGAATATATTCAAAACAAATATCTTTAGTAAACATAATTTTTCCATCAAATTAGTATAATGAGACAAAAGGTTGATAAAAAAATTATATTACAAGTATCGGAAAAAGAAGAAGATAAAGTAGCAACAAGAGAAGAGATTTAGAATTTTTAAGCTTAGTTCTCTTGGTTTTTATATGATCAAAAGATTTGTCAAATTGTATGAAAGGACAGATGAAATAATCCTTTCATTTACTACTAACAATCTTTAATATTAATTGAAGAGATAAGTATTCTTCGTATTGATAAGTAATTGTTGAAAGAAGATGATGACGTCATTCATTGTGAATGTATGTTGAACAAATATAAATTTGAAAAGATGCTCTGATTTATTATGTATTTTTTGCTTTTTTCAATTGTTAGAAATTAATTTGATTCTCACAATTGTAATTGACCTCCTCTCATGAAGTGTTTTCCGAAAGGTGCAAATGCATCTATCAAGAAAAGACTAACCAGTGAAAAGATTTAAAATTTTTAACTTTAGTTCTCTTGATTTTTATATGTTCAAGAGATATGTCAAATTATATAAAAAGAGTGGTGAAATAATTCATTCATTTACTATCAACAATCTCTAATGTTAGTTGAAGAGATAAATATTCTTAATATTGACAAGTAACTACTGAAAAAAACATGATGACATCGATATTAGTATATATTAGACAAACATAAACTTAAAAGCGTGCTCTAATTTATTATGTACTTTTTTGAATTGGTAGAAGTTAATTTGATTCTCGCAGCTGTAATTGACCTCCTCTTATAGAGTGTTTTCTAAAAGATGTAAATGCATATATCTATCTATATCTCCAACATTCATATAAATATCACATTTAAACATAAACACATAAGAAAGAGACTCTTAAAGTGTCTCAACGGGGAATTAGCACAAATAGGCTGGAGCAGCCCTTTTCTTCTAGCACTAGCTTATTACTATACTTCCCAATCCGCTGAGTTGCTTCTTCAATTCTTCACTTCATACCGCCAAAAAAAGAAAAAAAAGGTCAATATTCCTATAACATTCTGATTCGTTAAAAGAACATATGCATGCATGTTGTGCGAGAAATTATTATTTGAATCGTATTCATCGGGAACATACACACTCAGAAAGTGGTGGATATCACAATTATTTTACGGTGGGTTTCATATAATTTAGGTGAGTGGATTCATAGTGTTTCTTGTGCCATACTCTATACCAAAGTTTTTTAAAATAAAATATTTTCATTGCTATGTTATATTTTCGTAATTGTTTTTTTAAATTTGATCATTACTTAAATTAATCGACCAACTTTATTTTGAATATATATTCAAAATCTTACTTTTTTTTATGCACTTATTTTTTCTATACATCCAAGAGATTCGGATTCCTCATCTATTTTAGTAAAAATTTTATAAAATCAATATTGGTTCTATATAATATAAGATTAAATTTAAAAACTAATAATTTTATAAAAAAGGGTATTTAAAAAAATATTAATAAAAAATAAAATAAAATAATAACTAATAATTTTGTTAAACTGTGTAAAAAATTTTAAAAAAATTTATGAAACAAAAAGGGTATTAGTTATTCCAAGAATAACAGAATACAAATAACCATTTAACGTCAAAAAGGCAGAACCGGAAAAAAAAAAAACAACCAATAGTCATTGGATTATTATTTTATTATTATTTATCATAAAAAGAGACCTTGCAACACACTCAGTTATTAGGTATTAGAAGGTTATCATTAGTAGTTAACAGAATCATAAAAAAAAATTATTATCACTATAAATTAAATTGGCTATCATCACTACAAAATAAAAAACTACTCTAACCTTATTTAGATTCAAACTAGTCGAATACTGCGTTATGCTCGTGGGTAGACAACCGTTACATATGTAGGGTTAACAATTCATATGGTATAATATCGATAGAAAGTTTTATTTTTTATGATTAATATAAATTGAATCTATATATAGTTAATTTGTAATAAAACTATATATATATATATTGAGAGTATAGAGAATAAATAGATAAATATACAAAAAAAACCTACCTAAATTATAGAAATATATTGAAGTCAATAGACTGAAAAAAACTACAATAAAATTGATTCGATAAATTCTAAATATATATATATATATATATATAAAATAAAGCTTGTGATTTTTTTAACTCATTATTAAAAAAAAAAAAAAGTCAAACTATCTAAAAATTGAGTCAATATATATATATATATATATATATATATATATATATATGGAGAGTATAGAGAATAAATAGATAAGCTACAACAAAATTGATTCGATAAATTCGATATATATATATATATATATATATATATATATATATATATATATATATATAAAATAAAGCTTGTGAATTTTTTAACTCATTATTTAAAAAAAAAATTGAGTTAAACTATCTAAAATATACTTTTGGCTCTCTCTCTCTCTCTCTCTCTCTATATATATATATATATATTAAAAAATAAAACACTTATTTAAAAATATAAAAATAATTTATTATATAAATTATAATAATATATTTTTTAAAAATAAAATATTGAAGTTGTAAAATTTTATCCCAAAATTCATATATTAAAAAACCAAATTTATTAAGAAATAAAATTATATGAAAACAAATTTATTAACAAATAAAATTATATAAAAATTATCAACCATTATAAATTTATAATAAAATAAAAAATAAAATTTTTTCAAAATGATCATTCTAACCTAAAAATATATTTATTAATCATGAGCCTTTTATATATATATATATATATATATATGAAGAAAAAAAAAACAGAAAGTATGCCGACACCAAAGCTTGGATCTATGAAAAAAAAAAAGAAAAAAGGGAGGCTACCAGGCTGGGCAGCCAAGGCCTGGCGCGTGCAAGCCTTGGCCGCTGGTCAACCCAGCAGCAGAAAAAAAAAAAAAAAAAAACAAAAGAATTGAGTATTGTTTATCACCGTAGACAGACTCAATTGATGCTTTTCTTATGAGTTCTTTAAGTTATATATATACTATATTTTTTAAAAAAATTGAATTCATAACCTTTTACGAATACAAAAAGCTTATTATTACTGTACTAAAAACCTAGTGGTGAATAGTCATTATCTTTCCCAATATAAATTATTACATGCATAAAACTTCTTAGCAGTCCCATCAACATTGATGCTTTTCTTCCTTGCTACCTAAGTATCGTCTTCCTAATGTTAGCACCTAATTTTCTGGCCTAACATGGGCCTCCTCTTAAATACACCTGTGCTGGGCCGCCGCTATGGAACGCTTGTGAATTGATACGTGAAGGTCTAATCCGAGAAAAGCTAAGATTATTATTTTTTTTAAATGGAAACGGAATTTTTAAAATAAAATAAAATAAAATCAATTTCATAAAGACAAGTACTAAAATTGGTTTTGCAAAATAGTAAAAATAAAAATAAAAATAAAAATTGTTCTTCCAAAAATACCTTCTGAAACTTGGAAATTATTACTTTATCCTTTAATTATTTACGTATATTTTTGCAAGTCTGAATTCAAAAATTTCAAAACTTTGAAATGTCCAGTTGTTTGGAAAAGAATTTTTTATTTATTTTCAAATTACTTTGAAATATTCACTTTTCAAGGGATTCTTTTCCACCGAAAAGATGTAAAGAATTTTTTAGTCTAATTACTGCCCTATACCAGTAGTGTGGACCATTGATTTGGTTGCGAAACAGTGATATCATCTCAATAACAAACATAACGATTTGGAAAATATAATATAAGTTGAACTATTTTGGCAAATAAATTTAAGAGGTGAATCTATTAATAAAGGAAAAATAAATTTATAATTTATTTTTTTCTTTCCAAAATTGAACCTTTTCCTATTTTTCCCATTTCTCAACCCAAATATTGTTTTTTTTTTCAAGGGTCTTATTGAACTAAATCAAATCGTAGAGGGACTGGTGCATTAATTCCACAGAAAGTGGCTATCGAATCATGAGTCAGCCCATGACATGAGACGATATGAATTCATTTAGCCTTGCTATAACAAATAAAACAGAACACTATATAACATAAATTCTCAGTTAGATTATGAAAGCATCTTTAGTGCTGCTTCGGCTATGTGAGAGGGCCAATGGTGCATTCAATATGATTTAAATTTAATGAACAAGTACGTCATGAGTTTGTTGAATCTTTAAAAATTATGTGGCTATTTAATGGTTGTTGATAGTATGATGATGCTTGTAGATGGGTGGTAATTATGTTAATTGAATACATTCAAAACAAGTCTTTTTGGTATAAAAATTTTCTCAATGATAAAAAGCTAGGTTGTAAGTACCGAAAAAAGAAAAGAAAAGAAAAGAAAAGATAAAGTAGTAACAAGAGAAGAAGATTAAAAAGAGAGGAGATTCAGGATTTTATATGATCAAGAAATTTATCAAATTGTATGAAAGAGATGTGAAATAATCCATTCATTTACTACCAATAATCTCTTATATTAGTTAGAGAGATCAGTATTTTTTATATTAACAAATAACTATTGCAAGAATACGATGATGTCATTGACAATGTAGATTAAGGAAAATTTTATAATACACAAGGAGTAACTAGTGGCATGTATAGTAGTTATTCCTTGAATCCACTTTGAGGAGAGAATAAACACATAAAAAAAGAAAAATTACATTCATATCCATCAAAAGTGATAAGAAGATTTTCACGTCCGTTTAAATTTTTTTATTCTCTCCGTATGTCTATCTCTCTCCTCAAAGTGAGCCCAAAGAATAACCACTGTACATATCACTAATTACTCCTCGGGTATTAAAAATTTTATCGTAGATTAGACAAACATAAACTTAAAAACTTGTTCTCATTTATTATGTACTTTTTGCTTTTTACGATTGGTAGAAATTAGTTTGATTCTCGTAGTTGTAATTGATCTCCCAATCTGCTGAATTGCGTCTTCAATTCTTCACTTCATACTGCCAAAAAAAAAAAAAAAGTCAATATTCCTCTAACATTCTGAATCGATAAAAGAACATATGCATGCATGTTGTGCGAGAAATTATCATTTGAATCTTGTTCATCGTGAACATACACACACTCAGAAAGTGGTGGATCTCACAATTATTTTACGATGGGTCTCATATAATTTAGGTGAGTGGACTCATAGTGTTTCTTGTGCCATACTCCATGCCATAGTTTTTTATTTTCATTAGAATATTATATTTCATTTTTTTTTTAACTTCATCATTAATTAACTTAAGAATTTTTTTATTTGCCAACTTAATTTTGAATAGATTTTTTTAAAATCAATATTGGTTCTATGTAATATAAGATTAAATTTGAAAACTAATAATTTTATAAAAAAAGGTATTTAAAAAAAATATTAATAAAAAATAAAATAAAATAATAATTAAAAATGTTGTTAAACTGTGTAAAAAATTAGAAAATATTTTTTTTTTTATAGAGCAAAAAGGGTATTAGTTATTCCAAGAACACCATAATGCAAATAAACATTTAATGTTAAAAGGCAAAACAGAAAGAAAACCAAACAACCAATAGTCATTAGATTATTATTATTATTATTATTATTTGTCATAGATAGAGACCTTGCAACACACTCAGTTATTAGGCATTAGGAGATTATCATCAGTAGTTAGCAGAATAGAAGAAAAGATCTATTATCATCATAAATTGAATTGGCTACCACCATTACAAAAATAATGGACTACTATAGTCTTTTCTCATAATAATTTTTTTTTTGTAAACTCAAATATTGTAAAAAAAAATAAAATAAAATGAATTCATAACTTTTTGTAAATGCAAAAAACTCAATATCACCAGGCTAAAAACTATTGATCTATAGTCATTATCATTCATAATATAAATTATTACATGTATCAAATTTGGGAGCAGGCCCATCAACATTGAAGCTTTTCTTCCTTAATACCCAAGTATTGTCTTCCTTTGATAAATTTTATAATACTAAAAAAAAATAATTAGTTATATGTACAGTAATTACTCTATAAACTCATTTTGATAAGAGAGATAGACATATAAAAAAAGAGCAAATCACATCCGTATATATCAAAAGTGATAAAAAGATTTTTACGTTTGCATAATTTTTTTATTTTTTCTCTCATGTTTCTCTTTTTTTATTTATATATGTCTATCTCTCTCCTTAAAATAAATTCAAAAAATAACTATTATACATCACTAATTTTTTTTTGCGTATTAGAAAATTTCTAATCCTCCTTATGTTAGCACCTAATTTTTTGGCCTACCTTGGGCATCCCCTTAAATAAACTTGTGCCGTGGTGCCCCCGTGGAACGCTTGTGAATTGACAAGTGAAGGTCTAATCCGAGGAAAGCTAAGATTTGTTTTTAAAATGGAAATGGAATTGTTAAAAATAAAATATAAAATCAATTTCATAAAGACAAGTACTAAAATTGTTTTTGCAAAATAGTAAAAAAAAACAAAAAAAATTGTTCTTCCAAAATACCTTCTGAAACTTGAAATTGTTACTTTACCCTTTAATTTTTTACGCATATTTTCACAAATCGGAATTCAAAATTTCAAAGTTTTGAAATTAATGTCCAGTTGTTTGGAAAAGATATATATATTTTTTTCTTTTCAAATTGCTTTGAAACATTCGCTTTCTAAGGGATTCTTTTCCACCGAAAAGATGTAAAGAATTTTTTAGTTTAATTACTGCCCTATATCCAGTAGCGTGGACCATTCATTTGGTTGAGAAGGAGTGATATTATCTCAATAACAAATATATTGATTTGGAAAATATAATACAAGTTGAACTATTTTGGCAAATAAGTTTAAGAGGTGAACCTATTAATCAAGGAAAAATAAATTTATAATTTATTGGGTTTTTTTTTCTTTTCAAAATTGAACTTTTTCCTATTTTTCCCATTTCTCAACCCAAATATTGTTTTTTTCAAGGGTCTTATTGAACTAAATTAAATAGTAGAGGGACTGGTGCATTAATTCCACAGAAAGTGGCTATCGAATCATGAGTCAGCCCATGACATGAGAGGATATTATTATATTAATTCATTTAGCCCTTCTATAACAAATAAAACAGAAAACTATATAACATAAATTCTCAGTTAGATTATGAAATTTCAATTTGGTCCGTCCGTCATCCAAATGGGTTAATATTTTTCCATCTAAAACACCTATTTCATACAATAAACATAAAGTACTGTCAATTTACTGCAAAAAAACCTACAATGATTTCTATTAAAGCACTTATCAATTGACAAATACTCAATTAATCCAATAGTATTTTCGTTGGCTTTCTTGTCATTTTGAACAAATCCAATTCATGTTTCTCTATACTGTTATTCTTTAATTTCTTTGAGTTCCTTGTTCATAAAGATCTTGGATTAACTGCTGTATTTGGTATACAAGATGAAGCCAGAACATCAGATAAGGCATGCAATATATATATATATATATATAGTGGTAAACTATAGATTTTTTCCACTGATCATATATAATGCATACAATATTGTATTTAAACACAAACTCATAAGAAAGAGACTCTATGTCCCTCAACGGAGAATTAGCTCACCCCTTTTATTCTACCACTAGCTTATTACTATACTACATACTCTGCTGAAAATTGCTTCTCCAATTCTTCATTTCACACTGCAAAAAAGATAAAAAAATAAAAAAGACGGCGTGTCAGTTTTCCTATAATGTTCTGATTCGTTAAAAGAACATATGCATGCAGAAAGTATTTTATAGTTAATTTCTTAGTGTTTCTGGTGCTATATATGCATGTATAGAGAAGAAGCAGAGAATAGGTACCTGGCGCAATCAGTGGAAGGGCTGATTTTGTAGGGAACGGATACACCACACTTGGAAGGGAGGCCAGCAGCGAAGCCATAGTTGATACCAGAGACCTGACCAGCCAAGGATTTCAAGCAGTTGCAAACCCCTTGGCGGTCAGGGGTGCTGTTGGCTTGAGAATTGAGAGATTTGATCCCACCGCAGCAAGGTGGAGGCACAGCCCCACCTCTCTGGAGGTAGCCCATGCATTGTGACAAGCTGCTTGTGACTTGACCACATGAGATGGCTGCTTGTGCTAGGGGTGCACCAACTACCATCACTATAAGCATGGCATATGCCAGCTTCAAGCTCCTTGAAGACGCCATTATCTGACTACCAAATTACAACCTAGTGTTATAGTAAGATTTTAGAGTATGATTAGAGACTACTGCCCTTGGATGCTGATGAGTGAGTACCAAGTCCATGACGAATGGTGTTTAAATAGGCAAGTGTAAGTGTGAGAAATGAAGACATTTGTTACCAGGTGGCATGGAAGATTGGTTAGCAGTTGGGATTCATTAATTCTATGCATTAATCCTCTTTGGCTTATACTTAGGAACTTAAACATTTAGGTTTTTTTTTTTTAATCCTCTTCTTTGTATCTATATCTCTATAATAAATATTACTCTCTCTATTCACAAAATACTGTCTTTTTCTTTGCTTAATAATATCTAACTCCAACTACTTATTTAGTAAAAAACTTTATGATATATATTTTTTAAATGCCTCTAATTGATAAATAAAATCAATTCTTTCTTCTAGTTCCTGTTAATAAAAAACCAATATTTTTTATACCCTTTTTCTTCATAAATATAAATACCATTAATCAACATAAAATTTTTGAATTTTTTTATTACATGAAAAATATTTATTCTTTTCATATACAAATTTTATACTGCATGCCAAAGTTAAACTTCATATATATATATATATATATATATATATATATATATATAGATTTACCGGTTTAATTTCAGATATATATTCTTCTTAAATTAATATTGATTTTATATAATATAAAATTAAATTTAATAACTAATAATTTTATAAAAAAGAGTATTTTAAAAAATATTAACAAAAAAAATAAGATAATATAACAGTTAATAATTTTAAAAATCGTATTAAAAATAAAGAGAATTTTTTTTTTTAATAAAACAATAAGAGTATTAGTTATTCCACCATGAACATAATATTTGTTGATATCTCTCAAATCACAGATTTGCAACGCATTTAATGCAAAGCGGAGAGAAAGCCAAATAACCAGTAGCCATTGGATTGATCTTCTCTAACATAAATTATTACGTTATGCATTAAACTTCGGAGCAGTCTTATCACCATTGAAGCTTTCCTTCCTTACCACCTAAGTACTGTCTTCCTAATTTCTGCACCTAATTTTTGCCTAACATGGCCGTCCTCTTAAATGCACTTGTGCTGTGGTCCTATGAAAAGCTTGTGAATTGATGAGTGAAGGTCTAACTCTAACCTGAAAAGTTTTAAAAAATATTTTCTAACTTTAACAATTTTAAATTTATATTATATATTTGAATCAATTGAAAAAAAAAAAATTCGTATACAACAAATGAAGATAAAAAAAATAAAAATAAATACAGTTATTATTTAAAATTTAATGACTAACGATCACAAAAATAAATTTATTTATATGATAAAAAAAATTTTCAGTTAAAATTAATTATTTAATAAATTTAATTGATCAAAGTCAATAAATAGATATTTGTATTTTATTAATTATAGAAGTTGATCGTTTTAATGGATAATGATACTACATAATTTTTTGTAAGTGAAAAAAAAATATACAAATAATAATTTGATTGATTATAAAAAACTCAAAATATTTAATATGTGAAAATTTTAAAAAGAAATAATCTCTTTTAAAAAATAAAGAAAAATTTTTTAATATATTTTTAAAATATTAAAAAATAAAAAAAATTAATAATCAATAATTAACAAATTTAGATAAATTTTATCTAAAAATCGATAATTTAAGATTCAAATAATGTAAATTAATAATAAAAACCTGAAATTATAAGATTACAACAGAACGCAAGTAATTTTTGCCCTTAAAAAAAACAAAAACTGAAAGTGGAGCCCACATGGGTTGGAGATGGCAGGACAGCCAATCCTTTCGGTGGTCAGATAGAGTGCATCGGTTGGGTAGGAGGAAAGCACCTTCACCGCTGCTTCGGCTGTGTGAGAGGGCCAATGGTGCAGTCAATTTGCTCTCCAATCGAACAAATGTGCACTTTTGGCTTGGGATATATATGCTCTACAATTGTAAGGAAATTTCGCTGGAGAGATTAGGATCTATACTTAGAAACTTGTAAAAAGGAGTCAATTCAAGCTTGTAAAAAAAGCCAATTCATATATTTTAAATAGGGATTTGGATCTTTTTATGTTTTTAAGAAAACATAATCGGTTATACTCTAAATTTCATTGTTAATTTTGCATCTAATAATTCAAATTAGATTAAAGAAATAAAATATTAAGAAATTAAGTTGTTTATTATTCTTATCGAATGCTAAATCAAATTTAATGAATATATAGTTGTTAGGTTTGAATCTTTAAAAATGATGTGACTTTTTAATGATTGTTAACAGGGTAATAGTGATTGCTGATGAGTAGTGGTCATGTTGAATTGAATACAATATTTTTTTTTATATGAAAAATTGTCCAATAATCCAATTAGTGTAACGAGAAAGAAAGTTGATAGAAAACAAGGTTGTAAAAAAAAAAAAAAAGAAGATCAAATTAGTGAAATAGTCAATTCATTTATTATGTATTCTCTATCTTTTTTGATTGATGAAGGTTTATTTGATTCTCACAATTGTAATTGACTTCTTTTGGTCCATTCATTTATTATGTATTTTCTACTTTTTTGGATTGATGGAGATTGGTAATTGACTTCTTTTGGTCCATTCATTTATTATGTATTTTCTACTTTTTTGGATTGATGGAGATTGGTTTGATTCTGACAATTGTAATTGACATTTTCTCGTAAAGTGTTCTCTTGAAGGTGCAAATGCATCCATCCATGATCCATCTATGTTTTAATTGTAATTTCATCTCCCAATCTTTTGTTTAGATATTCCATTAGGTCAAAGAGAGAATTGTGTATACACGTATTGCTTATGATGAAAGCTCATCGGTTTTGTAAGATGACACATGTGTCTCAATATGTCAACAATCATGTTTATTTAAAAACATAAATTCATTTAGGTTATTAAATTTTTTTCTCAAGCAAGTCTCTATTATACCATGAGAAATTCTCAATTTGGTCCCTCATCCGATCCAAAACAGTTAATATTTTCCCATCTAAATTACCTATTTCATACAACAAATACCCCGTATTTAAACACAAATTAATGTTTGCTCCAAAAGATCTACTATGATTTTCAATTAACGGGCTTATTAATTGACAAACATTCAATTAATCCAATAGTATTTTCATTAGATTTCTTATCATTTTGAACAAATCCAACACATGTTTCGCTATACTGTTATTCTTTCTTTGAGTTCCTTATTCATAAAGATCTTGGATTAAATGATGTATTGGGGGCTTGTAGAAGATGAAAAAGAGCCAGAATATCAGCTAAGGCATGCAATAGATGTATGGTAGTAAACTATAGATTTTTTCCATTCACACATGATGCATACAATATTGTATTTAAACACAAACTCATAAGAAAGAGACTCTAAGTCCCTCAAAGGGGAATTAGCTCAAAAAGGCTGGAGCACCCCTTTTATTCTACCACTAGCTTAGTACTATACTTCATACTCTGCTGAAAATTGCTTCTCCAATTCTTCATTTCACACTGCAAAAAAAAAAAAAAAAAAAAATAAATAAAAAAGAGGGGGTGTCAATTTCCTATAATGTTCTGATTCGTTAAAAGAACATATGCATGCAGAAAGTATTTTATAGTTAATTTCTTAGTGTTTCTTGTGCTATATATGCATGTAGAGAAGAAGTACAGAATACGTACCTGGCGCAATCAGTGGAAGGGCTGATTTTGTAGGGAACGGATACACCACATTTGGAAGGGAGGCCAGCTGCGAAGCCATAGTTGATACCAGAGACCTGACCAGCCAAGGATTTCAAGCAGTTGCAAACCCCTTGGCGGTCAGGGGTGGTCCTGGCTTGAGAATTGAGTGATTTGATCCCACCGCAGCAAGGTGGAGGCACAGCCCCACCTTTCTGGAGGTAGCCTATGCACTGTGACAAGCTGCTTGTGACTTGACCACATGAGATGGCTGCTTGTGCTAGGGGTGCACCAACTACCATCACTATAAGCATGGCATATGCCAGCTTCAAGCTCCTTGAAGACGCCATTATCTGACTAGCAAATTACAACCTAATGTTATAGTAAGATTTTAGAGTGTGGTTTGAGACTACTACCCTTGGATGCTGATGAGTGAGTACAAAGTCCACGAGGAATGGTGTTTAAATAAGCAAGTGCAGGTGTGTATGAAATGAATACATTTGTTACCAGGTGGCTTAGAGTATTAGTTAGCAGTTGGGATTCATTAATTCTGTGTTCCATCTTCATACCCTTGTCAGATTGGCTTATAGTTAGGAACTTAAACATTTGGGTTTTTTTTTTTTTTAATCCTCTTCTTTATATCTGTATCTCTATAATAAATATTACTCTCTCTAGTCAAAAAATATTATCCTTTTCTTTACTTATATCTGTCTCCAAGTATTTATTTAGTAAAAACTTTATAACATATATTTTTGAAAATACCTCTAATTGAAATATAAAATCAATTCTTTCTTCTAGTTCCTGTTATTAACTAACAAAAAATCAATATTCTTTATTTTTTTTCATACATATAAATACCATTAATTAACATAAAATTTTTGAATTTTTATTACATGAAAAATATTTATTCTTTTCATATACAAATTTTATACTGCATGTCAAAGTTTTGAGTGTAAATTTCAGATAGATAAATAATGACTAATAATTTTATAAAAAAGAGGATTTTAAAAATTATTCACCAGAAAACTCAATAGAATATAATAATTAATAATTTTTTAAACCATATTAAAAATAAAAAGAACTTTTTTTATATATAAAAAAAAAACAGAAAGAGTATTAGTTCCACTGTCAACATAATATTTGTCTCCATCTCTCAAATCACATTTTTGCAACACATTTAATGCAAACCAGAAATAAAACCAAATAACCAATAGTAATTGGATTGATCTTCCCTAACATCAATTATTACAGGATGCATGAAACTTCGGAGCAGTCCCATCAACATCGAAGCTTTTCTTCCTTGCCACCTAAGTATCGTCTTCCTAATGTTTGCACCGAATTTTTTGGCCTAACGTGGCCGTCCTGTTAAATACACTTGCGTTGCCGTCCTATGAAACGCTTGTGAATTGATAAGAAGGTTTTACTCTAACATGATTTTTTTCAAAAAAATACTGATAGTTAAAGATTCAAATTACGTTAATTTATAATAATAAAATTAAAATTATTAAATTACAATAGAATATGAGAATTTTACAAGTAAAAAAAAATAAAAATTAAAAATGGAGCCCACATGGGTGGTGAGAGAGAGAGTACATGGGTTCCATCGGTTGGGTAGGTGGAAAGCACTTTTACCACTGCTTCAGCTGTGTGAGAGGGCCAGTGCTGCAATCAATTTGCTCTCCAATTGAGACTGGGATTCTAATAAGTTTGTATGTCAAGACTAGCTATACAAAGAAACTTGTAAAAAGGAGTCAATTCAAACTTCTAAAAAAAGCCAATTCATATATTTTATTTGGGATTTGGCTCTTTTATGTTTTTAAGAAAATAATCGGTTATATTCTGAATTTCATTGTTAATTTTGCATCTTAGATCAAAGAAATAAAATATTAAAAAATTAAATTATTTCTTATTTTTATGGTATGCTAAATCATGACCATTCAATATAAATTCAATAACTTAATAACATGTAGTTGTTAAGTTTGTTGATTCCTTAAAGATGATGTGACTCTTTGATGGCGGTTGTAAGGATGATATTATTTGCTAATGAATGATAGTCATATTGAATTGAATACAACATTTTTTTTTTTTGATATGGAAATGTTTTCAACAATCAAATTAGTGTAAAGAGAGAGAAAGTCGATAGAAAACTTGGTGGTAAATAATAATAATAATAAAAAAGAATGATTAAATTAGTGAAATGATCTATTCATTTATTATGTACTCTCTGTCTTTTTTGATTGATAGAAGTTGATTTGATTCTCACAATTATAATTGGGATTTGGATCCTTTTTATGTTTTTAAGAAAATAATCGATTATATTTTGAATTTCATTGTTAATTTTGCATCTTAGATCAAAGAAATAAAATATTAAAAAATTAAATTGTTTCTTATTTTTATGGTATGCTAAATCATGACCATTCAATATAAATTCAATAACTTAATAACATGTAGTTGTTAAGTTTGTTGATTCCTTAAAGATGATGTGACTCTTTAATGGTCTGTTGTTAGGATGATAGTATTTGCTAATGAATGGTAGTCATATTCAATTGTATACAACATTTTTTTTTTTTTGATATGGAAATGTTTTCAACAATCAAATTAGTGTAATGAGAGAGAAAGTTGATAGAAAACTTAGTTGTAAATAATAATAAAAAAAAACAATTAAATTAGTGAAATGATCCATTCATTTATTATGTACTCTCTGTCTTTTTTGATTGATATAGGTTGATTTGATTCTCACAATTATAATTGAACTCGTTTGGTCCATTTATTTATTATTTACTCTCTACCTTTTTCGATTGTTGGAGATTGGTTTGATTATTAAAATTGTAATTGACCTTTTCTAAAGTGTTCTCTTGAAGGTGTATCCATCTATGTTTGAGTTGTAATTGTTGGGTTTCCCTCATAATTGAAGGATGGCCCAAAATTTTATCTGCATGAATGCAATCTTGAAGCCCATGTGGAGGAGGAATTTTTAATCACTTGAAGGGTAATTTTAGTAATTCTAAATAAACCCTCTCTTCTCTTTAATTTTAAAATTAGATTAGGAAAGAAAGTAGAGAGAAAAGAAAAGAAAAGGAGTGAGAATCGCAACGTTAGAGAGAAATAGGGAAGAAAATTTTAACACGGATCGATTACGCTAAAATTGAGTTTTTAGATCGTTAACCGTTGGATTGAGCTTCAATTTGGTGGACACATTTAGGAGAGACGAGCATCACATTTTGAATAATGGAGATCTAGTTTTGAGTCTTGGAAAGTGAGATATGATGTTCTTAACAATGCTATTTTTCGGTGAAATCCGAACTTTGTTTCTTCTCTTTTCTTTGTGTATCATCTATTGATGTGATTTGCCAAAGGTGTGTAACTTTTGATATTTATGGATGATGTATTCCTCTAGTTTAATCTACATAGGACTCCTTATATTATCCATTATTGTTGACGAGTAGAAGTTATTGTAGACTCTAGTCCTATGGTTTTTTCCTTCTCAAATTGAGGAGGTTTTCCACGTAAAATTTATGTGTTCCTTGTGTGATTGGTATTTTATTTTTTAGATTATTAGTTACTTATTTTGGCTTAGGTATTTGGTTGTAACTCTGTGTTTAATTGTTTAAGTAAGGTTAAAGAGGTTTTGTCGTGTTATTTGTGTATCTTTGCCTAACAAGTGGTTCACAGACTTGGTTGCTTATTTTTAGCTTGAAAAATATGGAGAGTAACATTAAAAGGATAAGTTTGAATGGAACCAATTATCACATGTGAAAGAGAAAAATGAAAGATCCGTTATATATAAAGAGTTAGCATTTACCTGTATTTGTTTCGACTAAACCTTATACAAAAACAAATAAGGATTGAAAATTTAAGAATGAATAAGTTTGTGCCTTTATTTGTTAGTACATTGATGATAATGTTTCTAATCATGTTGCAGAAGAGGTGAATGCTAAAACTTTAGAGAAAAGTTTGGAAGATCTCTTTGTCAAAGAAACAAGGTATAACAAGATGTACTCGATTAAGTAGTGGATGAATTATAAGTATAAGAAGAGAACTTCTATAGCTGATCACATAATGAGTATGTGAGAATTGTTCGAGTAAATGAAATTCATGAAAATAGAAATTGATGATGAGGTCCTTAAGTTGTATTTACTTGGCTCATTATCGGACTCTTGAGGGACATTCTACACATCATATTGTAATTCTGCTCCCGATGAGAAGATGAACTTGACCTATGTTAGAAATGAGGTTCTTAATGAATAGGTTAGAAGGAAGACTCAAAATTCTTCTTCCCGACCTAGTGTGCTAGTTACTCGTAGAAAGGGAGAGGAATGAAAATAAGGGTCCAAAAGGTAGAGGCAAGAGTAGAAGCAAGTCTAGGAGCAAGTTTACAAATGTGGAGTGCTATTATTATGGGGATATAGGTCATATTAAGAACTATTGTCAAAAATTAAAGAAAGATAACAAGAAGAACAAAACCATGTAGAATGACGAGTACTAATGTTGATGAAGACCGAGTTATTGTAAATAATGAGTTCTCGATTGCAGATGATACCGATGAAGTTAACATAGAATCGGATGAGCTTAGTTGGGTGGTTGATAGTGAAGCTTTGGTACATGCTACAAGTCATAAGGAGTTTTTTAGCTCATACATATCCGATGATTTTGGGGCAATAAGGATTGGTAACGAGTGGGTTGTCCAAAGTTATTGGTATGGAGATGTACGCTTAGAAACTCACTAGTTAGATACCTATGCTATGCTACGGTAAGACAATCATTATATACACAGGGTTAACAATTTGTATGGTATGATGTGAGTAGATGTTTTGGCTTCGAAGATTAATGTAAATCGAATCTATATATTCAACGAATTTGTTTGATTTATATATATATATATATTTATTAACAAAATAATTTATAATATTAGTATAAATATTTATATTTGAATAATTAAGAGGTTCTTTCAAAACATTAATTAAATTATTTCATTTAAAAATATAGATTTTAGAACATGAAAAAAAATAAATAACAAATAATTGATGTTATGTGGTAGATATAATTAATTTCTAACAAAACTATACATACATCATACATACATAAGCAGATTTGGAGTATATAAAATAAATAAAAAAATAAAAAAATCCATCTAATTCGTATGGAATATATCGAACTAAATAGATTTAAATAAAACTTATTATATAAAATTGGTTTCGATAAATTCGATATTTATATATATACACACACACACACAACCAAATAAAACATGTGAATTTTTTTAACTAATTATTATTTAAAAAAATTGAGTCGAATTTTTTTAACCGATTATTATTTTTTTAAAAGTAAGTCAAATTATCTAAAACACACTTTTAGTTCTTTTTCTCTCTCTCTTTCTCTCATCGAATTTATATATGACAAAACTATATTTTATATACTCTAAGTCTTCTAAGTAAAGAAAAAAAAATATATATATATATATATATATATTTTTCTTTACTTAGAAGACTTAGAGTATATAAAATAAATATAAAAAATATAAAAAAACTCACTTAAATTGCATGAAATATATCAAAGTGAATAGATTTAAATAAAAACCACTAGAAAATTGATTTCGATAAATTTTGATTATATATATATAAAACCCAATAAGACTTGTGAATTTTTTTTTAACTAATTATTCAATTTTTTTTTTTAAAAAAAACTAAGCCAAATTATTTTTTAACTGATTATTATTTTTTAAAAAAATTAAGTCAAATTATCTAAAACACACTTTTAGCTCTCTCTCTCTCTCTCTCTCTCTCTCTCTCATTAGAATTTATATATACAACAATGCCATTTTCATTGAAAAATTATAAAAATAATCAATCATATAAAATATAGTAACATATTTTAAAAAATAAAACAATCATGTTCTAAAATTTTATTTCAAAAACCACATATAAAAAATCAAATTTGTTAACAAATAAAATTATATAAAATTTAAAAATTAATTTGTTGAGAATTTTAATAAGAAACAAAAAATTGAAGAAATAAATTTTAAATAAAAAAATAATATAATAAGATATATATGTTTAAACTAGAATTTTAAAAAATATTATATATATTCTATTACTTGTCAAACTATACATAAAAAAACTAACGATCTTTTTTTATATTTTTATACCTAATTTCATGATAAAAAAATATTATTTATATAGAAGGGGAACAATTGCCATCTAAGAACATGTAAAAACTGAAAACCAAAAAAAAAAAAAAAAAAAAAAAAAAAAAGAGGAATGTTATAGTGAAGTTTTAGCAACCCGAGTCCTTAAAAAAAAGGAAAAAAAGAGGCCGGATGAAAAAAAAAAAAAGAAAGCTGTTATAGTGCTAAAGTGAAGGAAACATCTAGCAACCTAACCCTTTAAAAAAAAGAAAAAGAAAAAAAGGAGGCCAACTATGTAAAAAAGAAAAAGGCATTGCTACATTGAATGAATAGTGCCACCTTCAATTCTTTTATTTATTTATTTTTTATATATAATACTGGAGTAAAAATGGTTCTAAAAAATGTTAAGCATATTCTTGACTTTCACTTGAATTTAATCTCAATTAGAAAACTTGATGATGAAGGGTTTTGTAAGACATTCAAAAATAATAAATGGAAGTCGTCCAAGGGTTATATGGTAGTGACAAAAAGAGAGAAGTGTTCCTCTTTAATAATTAATAATTTTATAAAAAAGAGTATTTTAAAAATACTCACCAAAAAAATTAATATAATATAATAATTAATAATTTTTTAAAACTATATTGAAAATAATGAGAACTTTATATATATATATATAAAATAGAAAGAGTTTTAGTTATTCCACTATGAACATAATATTTGTCCACATCTCTCAAATCACGGTTTTGCAACACATTTAATACAAAACGAAAGAAAACCAAATAAATAATAGTAATTGGTTTGATCTTCCGCAACATAAATTATTACAAGATGCATGAAACTTCAAAGCAGTCCCATCGACATCGAAGCTTTTCTTCCTTACTACCTAAGTATCTTCTTCCTAATGTTTGCATCGAATTTTTTGGCCTAACATGGCCGTCCTCTTAGGCCCCATTTGTTTGATAAAAACAACTTCCATATGAAAATTAATTCCTAAATAAATTATTTTTTAGTACATTGTTTTTTAAGAAAATATTTTCTACCGTTTGGCAATTACATAAAAGAATACTCGATAAATATATTCCAACATTTTTTTGATACAAAAAATTAAAATAGAAAAATAGTATGTGATTGGTACATCAACAAGTTTTGAGAAAACTTTAAAAAAGGCATATTCAGAATTTCACAATATAAGACACATTTAAAAAAATTTAATAAATTTTCATAAATACTGAATCTAAATTTTTAATTCAAAAAATAAAATATACTTTTTTAACTACCAAACCAATTCATCAAAATTACTTGGGAAAAAATCAAGTCATTATTCACATTTAGTAAAAAAAAAAAATCTAAGTAATCCTCACATTGTTATTTTGGTAACTCAATTAAGAATATATATATATATATATATATATATATATATAGATATCGAACTGATAATCTAGTCTAAAAAATAGTTTTATAAATTATTAGTTATCATTTGTAGATAACTATTCATTTGGTGTCAAAAAATTAATGTTGGAATAATTTGTAACTAATTATTTAGTACAATTACCAATAAAATTTTACAAATGATTAAAATTATAAATTATTGATTTAGTTGCAAATGAATAGTGTTGAAAAAATAATATATTTATTAATGAATTAATTAATTTCAAATTTTTACAAAAAATTACAATCTTGTAATAATCATTTCCAATCATTTAACGAGTTTAGGTGGTGTTTGAGATAATAGTAAAAAAATAGAGATAAATTATTAAAATATTTATTATAAAAATAATTTAAGTCTGTAAAATAGTTTTTAAGAATATTTAATGTATCTACAAATAAAAAAAATCAAATATTAGTAGAAATGGAGAAGAAATAATTAAATAATTAATAATAATTGATGAGGAATAATTAAAAATTAATTTGATAATTTTAAATAAAAAGAAGATAGAGAAAAAAATTGTCAAGATATATTGAGAGAGATAAGTAACGCGAGAGCGAAACGAGTTCGTGAGAAGGAAAATGTTTTCCTCATTTTTAACTAGGAAAACATTTTCCTAAAAATACTTTATCATTTTTCGTTGACTGAAAATCATTTTCTATTGACTTTTTTCTTAAATGTGAAACAAACATTGAAAAATGAGAAAAACAAGTTTCGAAACTTGTTTTTCCCCAAACAAACATAGCCTTAAGGATACTTTTGTGGTTGTCCTATAAATCACTTGTGAATTGATAAGTGAAGGTCTAACTCTAACAAGAAAAGTTTTAAAAAATGATTTTCTTAATTTAATAATTTTAAATTCATATTATATATTTGAATCAATTGAAAAAACAAAATCCTATGCAACATATGAAAAAAAAAATTTATATTTAAAATTTAATGATTGACAATCATAAGAATAAATTTATTGACATGAAAAAAAAAATTCAGTTAAAATTATTTATTTGATAATTTTAATTGTTCAAATTCAATCAACAAATATTTATATTTTATTAATTATAGAAGCTGATTGTTTTAATATATAATAATACTACATAATTTTTAAAAGAAATTATGCAGAATAATAATTTATTTGACTATAAAAAATTAAAAGGATTAATATGTGAGAATTTTAAATAGAAAGAATCTCTCTTGAAAAATAAACATTTTTAATAACTTTTTTCAAAAAGATTAACAGAAAACACAGTAGAAAAAAAATTAACGGTCAACGGTTAATAAATTTGGATAAAATTTATCAAAAGATTGATTATTTAAAATTCAAATTACGTTAATTAATAATAATAAAAGTTTAAAATTGTGAAATTGCAACCTAACTTAATTTTTTCCAGCAAACAAAAAAAAAAAAAATTGAAAGTGGAGCCCACATGGGTCGGAGATGGCAGGACAGCCATTCCTTTGGGTGGTCAGATAGAGTACATGATTCCATCGGGTGGGTAGGAGGAAAGCAGCTTTACCGCTGCTTCGGCTGGGTGAGAGGATGCAGTCAATTTGCTCTCCGATTGAACAAATGTGCACTTTTGGCTATATATATATATATATATATGCTCTACAATTCTGAGGAAATTTCGCTGGAGAGATTAAGATTCTCATAAGGTTGTATGTCAAGACTAGCTATTATAAGAAACTTGTAAAAAGGACTCAATTCAAACTTGTAAAACAGCCAATTCATATATTTTAATAGGGATTTGGATCTTTTTATGTTTTTAAGAAAATATAATCGGTTATATTCTAAATTTCACTAGATTTTTTACCGCGCTTACGCTGCAGATTGGATAAAATATATAAAATCATATAAAAAAATTATTTCAGTTTAATAATCTGTTTTATGATAAAAAATAATTAGAATTTTTAAATGAAAAAAATTTATATTTAACTATTTCTTATTTGTATTTTTAAATTTTAGAAATAAATAATAAAGCAAATAAATTATTGATTTATTTAAAATTTTAACACCCAATTAATTGTTGGTTCTTTTAAAATTTTAACACCTAATATTATTAAGAAATTAAAATTAAAAAAAATTCAATGTTTAGGAAAAAAAAAAGGAGGCCAGCCGTTTACTTGTTCATATGAATAGTAAACGGACGAAAATTAAAAAAAAAATAGTGTTTAGAGAAAAAAAAAAAAGAGGGCAAGCCATTTACCATTCAAATGAACAATAAACAGGTAAGGGTAGGGGGAGGCCAGCGAGTGCTGGCAAAAAAAAATGAAACTTAAAAAATAAAAAAAAACCAAAGTAATATAGCAATGAACGAGTTATTAACATTGTTTATTGCTACGGTGAAAAATGGTTTTTCTTTAGTATATAGTATTAGATTTTTTATACTGCGCTATCTTTGCGGGTTGGATAAAATATATAAAATCGTTCGGAAAAATTATTTCAATTTAATAATCTGTTTTATGGTAAAAAATAATCATAATTTTTTAATAAAAAATTTTGTATTTAACTATTTCTTATTTATTTTTTAAAATTTTACAAATAAATAATAAAGAAAATAAATTGTTGGTTTCTTTAAAATTTTAACACCCAATTAATTGTTGGTTCTTTTAAAATTTTAACACCAAATACTATTAAGAAACAGAAATTAAAAAAAAAATCAATGTTTAGAAAAAAAAAATAGGGTGCAAGCCGTTTACTGTTCATGCGAACGGTAAATGGATGGAAATTTTTTTTTAAAAAAAATTCAATGTTTACAAAAAAAAAAAAAAAGGAGGGAAGCCGTTCACTGTTCAAATGAATAGTAAACGGATGGGGGAGCAACGGGTCTAGTAAAAAATAATAATGAAAAAAAACAAAAACACTGTAGCAATGAACAGTGATTGACACTGTTCATTGCTACAGTGAAAAAACGTTTTGCTTTAGTATATAGGATAATTATTAATTTTGCATCTCATAATTCAAATTAGATTAAAGAAAATTTCTTTTTAAAGAATTTTTTTTTTTTTTAATTTCTATCGTATGCTAAATCATGACCATTCACTTTGAACTCACTAACTTAAATTTAATGAACATGTATTTGCTAAGTTTGTTGATTTCTTAAAGATGGTGTGACTCTTTTATGATTGTTGATAGGATGATAATGTTTGGTGATGGGTGGTGGTCATGTTGAATTGAATACAACAATTTTTATTTTTATTTTTTATATGAAAAATTCTCCAACAATCAAATTAGTGTAACTAAAGAGAAAGTTGATAGAAAACTAGGTTGTAGGTATATAAAATAAAAAAGATCAAATTAGTGAAATGGTCCATTCATTTATTATGTACTTTCTGTCCTTTTCGATTGGTAGAGATTTATTTAATTCTTATAGTTGTAATTGACCTCCTATGGTCCATTCATTTATTACATACTCTTGGTCTTTTTCGATTGGTGAAGTTTGGTTTGATTCTCATAATTGTAATTGACTTCCTCTCATGGAGTATTCTCTTGAAGGTACTGATGCATCCATCCTTCTATATTTTGGATGTAATTTCATCTCCCAACCTTTTAGTAAGATATTCCATTAGGTCAAAAAGAGAATTGTGTATACACATATCGCTCATGGTGAAGGCTCGTTTTGTAAAATTACACATCTAGTATAAATATATCAACAATCATGCTTATTTAAAAACATAAACTCATTAAGGTTATTAATTTTTCTTTCTCAATCAAGTCTCTATTATACCATGAGAAATTCTCAATTTCGTCCCTCATCGGATCCAAAACAGTTAATATTTTCCCATCTAATTAAATTACCTATTTCATACAATAAAGAACCCATATTTAAACACAAATTAATGTTTACTGCAAAAAAATCTACAACGATTTTCGCTTAAAGGACTTATTAATTGATAAACATTCAATTAACCCAATAGTATTTTCGTTAGATTTCTTATCATTTTGAACAAATCCAACTCATGTTTCTCTATACTGAGTTCCTTATTCATAAAGATCTTGGATTCACTGCTTTATTTGGTGTAGAAGATGAAAAAGAGCCAGAATATCAGATAAAGCATGCAATAAATATATAGTAGTAAACTATATATTTTTTCAATTCACACATGATGCATACAATATTATATTTAAGTACAAACTCATAAGAAAGAGACTCTAAGTCCCTCGGAGGGGAATTATCTCAAAAAGGCTGGAGCACCCCTTTTATTCTAGCACTAGCTTATCACTATACTTCATACCCTGCTGAAAATTGCTTCTCCAATTCTTCATCTCACTCTGCAAAAAAAAGTAAAAAATAAAAAAGATGGGGTGTCAATTTTCCTATAATGTTCTGATTCGTTAAAAGAACATATGCATGCAGAAATTAAATATTTAATAGTTAATTTCATAGTGTTTCTTGTGCTATATATGCATGTAGAGAAGAAGCAGAGAATAGGTACCTGGAGCAATCAGTGGAAGGGCTGATTTTGTAGGGAACGGATACGCCACACTTGGAAGGGAGGCCAGCAGCGTAGCCATAGTTGATACCAGAGACCCGACCAGCCAAGGATTTCAAACAGTTGCAAACCCCTTGGCGGTCAGGGGTGGTCCTGGCTTGAGAATTGAGAGATTTGATCCCACCGCAGCAAGGTGGAGGCACAGCCCCACCTCTCTGGAGGTAGCCTATGCATTGTGACAAGCTGCTTGTGACTTGACCACATGAGATGGCTGCTTGTGCTAGGGGTGCACCAACTACCATCACTATAAGCATGGCATATGCCAGCTTCAAGCTCCTGGAAGACGCCATTATCTGACTACCAAATTACAACCTAGTGTTATAGTATGATTTTAGAGTATGATTAGAGACTACTGCCCTTGGATGCTGATGAGCGAGTACCAAGTCCATGACGAATGGTGTTTAAATAGGCAAGTGCAGGTGTATGAAATTAAGACATTTGTTACTAGGCGGCTTAGAGTGTTCGTTAGCAGTTGGGATTCATTAATTCTATTTTACAGCTTCACATCCTTGTCAGATTGGCTGATTGCTGGTACGTTATTATTTTTTTATAATTTTTTAAACTTAATCATTAATTAACTTAATATTTTTTTTTGGATTTACCACTTTAATTTTGGATAGATTTGCTTCTTAAATTACTATTGATTTTATATAATATAAATATAAATTTAATAACTAATAATTTTATTAAAAAAGAATATTTAAAAAATATTAACCAAAAAATTAATATAATATAACAATTAATAATTTTTTAAAACCGTGTTAAAAATAATGAGAACCTTCTTCTTCTTCTTTTTTTTTTCATGAAACAGAAACAGAATTAGTTATTCCACTATGAATTAATATTTGTCGATATCTCTCAAATCACAGTTTTGCAACACATATAATGCAAAACAGAAAGAAAACCAAATAACCACTAGTAATTGGATTGATCTTCCCTAACATAAATTATTACAGTATGCATGAAACTTCTTAGCAGTCCCATCAACATCGAAGCTTTTCTTCCTTACCACCTAAGTATTGTCTTCCTCATGTTTGCACCGAATTTTTTGGCTTGACATGGCTGTCCTCTTAAATACACTTGTGTTGCCGTCCTATGAAATGCTTGTGAATTGATAAGAAGGTTTTACTCTAAAATGAATTTTTTTATAAAAAAATACTGATAGTTAAAGATTCAAATTACGTTAATTTATAATAATAAAATTTAAAATTATTAAATTACAATAGAATATGAGAATTTTTAGAAGTAAAAAAAAATAAAAAATAAAAATGGAGCCCACATGGGTTGGAGATGGCAGGACAACCATTCCTTTGGGTGGTCAGATAGAGTACCTTTACCACTGCTTCAGCTGTGTGAGAGGGCCAGTGGTGCAATCAATTTGCTCTGCAATTGAGATTAGGATTCTAATAAGTTTGTATGTAAAGACTAGCTATGCAAAGAAACTTGTAAAAAGGAGTCAATTCAAACTTGTAAAAAAAGCCAATTCATATATTTTAATAGGGATTTGGATCTTTTTATGTTTTTAAGGAAATATAATCAGTTATATTCTGAATTTCATTGTTAATTTTGCATCGAAGAAATAAAATATTAAAAAATTAAGTTGTTTTTTATTTTTATGGTATGCTAAATCATGACCATTCAATTTGAATTCAATAACTTAAGAATATGTAGTTGTTAAGTTTGTTGATTCTTTAAAGATGATTTGACTCTTTAATGGTTGTTGTCGGGATGATGGTATTTGCTGATGGATGGTGGTCATATTGAATTGAATACAACATTTTTTTTTTATATGAAAATTTTTCAACCGTCAAATTAGTGTAACGAAAGATAAAGTTGAAAGAAAACTAGATTGTAAATACAAAAAAAAAAAAAGAACGATCAAATTAGTGAAATGATCCATTCATTTATTATGTACTTTCTGCCTTTTTCGATTGATAGAGATTGATTTGATTCTCACAATTATAATTAAACTCCTTTGATCCATTCATTTATAATTTACTCTGTGCCTTTTTCGATTGGTGGAGATTGGTTTGATTATCACAATTGTAATTGACTTTTTCTAGAGTGTTCTCTTGAATGTGCATATATATCCATCCATCTATGTTTTAGTTGTAATTGTTGGGTTTCTCTCCTAATTGGAGGATGGCTCAAAAGTTTACCTACATAAGCCCACGTGGAGGAGGAATTTTTAATAACTTGAAGGGTAATTCGGGTATTTTTTAATAAATCCTCTCTTCTCTTTAATTTTGAAATCGGATTAGGAAAGAAAGAAGTGAGAAAAAAAAAAAAAAGGAGTGAGAGTCATAACATTAGGGAGAAAGAAGGAAGAAACCGTCAACAACGACCGGTCATGCTAAAATTAAGTTCCCGAATCGTTAACCATTGGATCGAGCTTCAATTTAGTGGACGTGTTTAGGAGAGACGAAGCACATTTTGAAAAGTGAAGATCCGGTTTTGATTCTTGGAGTGTGAGATATGATGCTCGTAACAATGCTATTTTTTGATAAAATTTGAACTTGGTTTCTTCTCTTTTTTTCTACATATCATCTATTGATGTGGTTTGCCAAGGGTGTGTAACCTTTGATATTTATGGTTTTTGTATTCCTCTAGTTTAATTTACGAGAGAACTCCTTGTATTGTCCATTATTGTTAATCGTAGAAGTTATTATGAACTCTAGTCCCGTGGTTTTTTCCTTCTCAAATTGAGGAGGTTTTTCACGTAAAATTTATATATTCCTTGTGTGATTGGTATTTTATTTTCAGATTATTAGTTACTTGTTTTGGCTTAGGTATTTGGTTGTAGCTTCGTGTTTAATTGTTCAAGTAAGGGTAAAAAGGTTTTCTTTGTGTTATTTATGTATCTTTACCTAACAAGTGGTTCGGAGCTTGGTTGCTTATTTTTAGCTTGAACAATATGGAGAATAACATTAAAAGGATAAGTTTGAATGGAACCAATTATCATATATGGAAGAGAAAAATGAAAGATTTGTTATATGTGAAGAGTTGGCATTTACCTATGTTTGCTTCGACTAAACCTTTTACAAAAACGAGATGAGGATTGAAAATTTAAGAATGAATAAGTTTGTGTTTTTATTTGTTAGTACATTGATGATAATATTTCTCATCATGTTGTAAAAGAGGTGAATGCTAAAACTTTGAAGAAAAGTTTGGAAGTCTCTTTGCCAAAGAAACGGGGTATAACAAGATGTACTTAATTAAACGAGTGGATGAATTACGGGTATAAGGAGAGAATTTACGTAGCTGATCACATTAATGAGTATGTGAGAATTGTTCAGCAAATGAAAGTTAAGAAAATAGAAATTGATGATGAGGTCCTTGGGTTGTATTTGCTTAGCTCATTACCGGACTCTTAGGAGACATTACGTACATCACATTGCAATTACGCTCACGATGGGAAGATGAACTTGACTTATGCTAGAAATAAGGTTCTCGATGAAGAGATTAGAAGGAAGACTCAAAATTCTTCTTCCCAATTTGATGTGTTATTTACTATAGAAAGGGATAGGAGTAAAAATAAGGGTCCAAAGGCGGAAGCAAGTCTAGGGGCAAGTTTATAAATGTGGAGTGCTATTATGGGTCATATTGAGAAATATTGTTGAAAATTAAAGAAAGATAACAAGAAGAACAAAACCAAGCGGAATGGTAGTGATGGTGATAAAAATTGAGTTAATGTAACTAATGAGTTCCCGATTGCATATGATACGATGAAGTTAACATAGCATCATATGAGCATAGTTGGGTGGTTGACGGTAGACCTTGGTATATGCTACAAGTTACAAGGAGTTTTTAGCTCATATGCGTCTAGAGATTTTAGGGCGGTAACGATTGGTAATAGTGGGTTAAACAAAGTTACTTGGTATTTGAGATGTGTGCGTATAAACTCACTAGTTAGATACCTGTGCTACTGCTGTGGTAAGACAAGCATTATATACATAGAGTTAACGATTTGTATGGTATGTTGTGAGTAGATGTTTTGGTTACGAAGATTAATATAAATCGAATCTATATATTCGACAAACTTATTTGATATATATATATTAACAAAATAATTTATAATATTAGTATAAAAATTTATTTTTGAATAATTAAGAGGTTCTTTTCAAACATTAATTAAATTATTTCATTTAAAAATATAGATTTTAGAACATGAAAAAAAATAAAAAATAAATAATTGATGTAATGTGTATAGACATAATTAATTTCTAACAAAACTACACACACACACACACACACACACACACATATGTATATATATATATATATATATATTATTGTGTACTTAGCAGATTTGGAGTATATAAAAAATATAAAAAAATTCTCCTAATTCGTATGGAATATATCGAAGTAAATAGATTTAAATAAAAATTATTATATAAAATTAATTTCGATAAATTATGATACACACACACACACACACACACACACACAAAACCAAATAAAACATGGGTATTTTTTAACTAATTATTATTTGAAAAAAAAATGAGTCGAACTATCTAAAACACTCTTTTAGCTCTCTTTCTCTCTCTCTCTCTCTCCCTCGTCGGAATATATATATGAAAGAACTATATATATATATATATATATATATATATATATATAACCAAATAAGACTCGTGAATTTTTTTAACTAATTATTCATTTAAAAAAAAACAAGCCAAATTATTTTTTTAATCAATTATTATTTTTTAAAAAAATTAAGTCAAATTATCTAAAACACACTTTTAACTCTCTCTCTCTCTCTCTCACATCGGAATTTATATATACAACAATGCCATTTTTATTAAAAAAATTATGAAAATAATCAATCATATAAATTATAGTAACATATTTTGAAAAATAAAACAATCATATTCTAAAATTTTATTTCAAAAGCACCTTTGTCGCTACTTCGATTTGGGTGATTAAGTGCAATGAATTTGCTCTCCAATTGAACAAATGTGCACTTTTGGCTATATATATATATAATTGTAAGGAAATTTCGCTGGAGAGATTAGGATTCTCATAAGGTTGTATGTCAAAGACTAGCTATACTAAGAAATTGTAAAAATGAGTCAATTCAAACTTGTTAAAATAGCCGATGGGTGGTGGTCATGTTGAATTGAATTGAATACAACAAATTTTTTTTTATATGGAAAATTTTCAACAATCAAATTAGTATAACGAGAGAGGTTGATAGAAAACTAAGTTATAAATACAAAAGAAAAAAAAGATCAAATTAGTGAAATGGTCCTTTCATTTATTATGTATTCTCCGTCCTTTTTGATTGATGGAGGTTAATTTGATTCTCACAATTGTAACTTACCTCAACCTCTTCTGATCCATTCATTTATTATGTACTTTCTGTCTTTTTCAATTGATGAAAGTTGATTTGATTCTCACAATTGTAATTGACCTTCTTTGGTTCATTGAGAGTGGAGGTTGGTTTGATTCTCACAATTGTAATTAATCTTTTATAGTGTTCTCTTGAAGGTGCATATACATTTTTCTATCTATGTTTTAGTTGTAATTTCATCTCCCAACCTTTTGTTTAGATATTCCATTAGGCCAAAGAGAGAATTGTGTATACACGCTCACGGTGAAAGCTCATGGGTTTTGTAAGATGACATACGTCATCTAAATATTTCAGACGTCATGTTTATTCAAAAACATAAACTCATTAAGGTTATTAAATTTTTTTCTCAATCAAGTCTCTATTATACCATGAGAAATTCTCAATTTGGTCCCTCATCCAAAAACAGTTAATATTTTCCCATCTAAATTACCTATTTCATACAATAAAGAACCCATATTTAAACACAAATTAACGTTTACTGCAAAAAAATCTACAACGATTTTCGTTTAAAGGACTTATTAATTGACAAACATTCAATTAACCCAATAGTATTTTCGTTAGATTTCTTATCATTTTGAACAAATCCAACTCACGTTTCTCTATACTGAGTTCCTTATTCATAAAGATCTTGGATTAACTGCTGTATTTGGTGTAGAAGATGAAAAAGAGCCAGAATATCAGATAAAGCATGCAATAAATATATAGTAGTAAACTATATATTTTTTCAATTCACACATGATGCATACAATATTATATTTAAGTACAAACTCATAAGAAAGAGACTCTAAGTCCCTCGGAGGGGAATTATCTCAAAAAGGCTGGAGCACCCCTTTTATTCTAGCACTAGCTTATCACTATACTTCATACCCTGCTGAAAATTGCTTCTCCAATTCTTCATCTCACTCTGCAAAAAAAAGTAAAAAATAAAAAAGATGGGGTGTCAATTTTCCTATAATGTTCTGATTCGTTAAAAGAACATATGCATGCAGAAATTGAATATTGAATAGTTAATTTCATAGTGTTTCTTGTGCTATATATGCATGTAGAGAAGAAGCAGAGAATAGGTACCTGGAGCAATCAGTGGAAGGGCTGATTTTGTAGGGAACGGATACGCCACACTTGGAAGGGAGGCCAGCAGCGTAGCCATAGTTGATACCAGAGACCCGACCAGCCAAGGATTTCAAACAGTTGCAAACCCCTTGGCGGTCAGGGGTGGTCCTGGCTTGAGAATTGAGAGATTTGATCCCACCGCAGCAAGGTGGAGGCACAGCCCCACCTCTCTGGAGGTAGCCTATGCATTGTGACAAGCTGCTTGTGACTTGACCACATGAGATGGCTGCTTGTGCTAGGGGTGCACCAACTACCATCACTATAAGCATGGCATATGCCAGCTTCAAGCTCATTGAAGACGCCATTATCTGACTACCAAATTACAACCTAGTGTTAAAGTATGATTTTAGAGTATGATTAGAGACTACTGCCCTTGGATGCTGATGAGCGAGTACCAAGTCCATGACGAATGGTGTTTAAATAGGCATGTGCAGGTGTATGAAATTAAGACATTTGTTACTAGGCGGGTAGAGTATTGGTTAGCAGTTGGGATTCATTAATTCTATTTTACAGCTTTAAATCCTTGTCAGATTGGCTGATTGTTAGTATGTTATTTTTTTTATATAATTTTTTAAACTCAATCATTAATTAACTTAATATTTTTTTTTGGATTTACCACTTTAATTTTGGATAGATTTGCTTCTTAAATTAATATTGATTTTATATAATATAAAGTTAAATTTAATAACTAATAATTTTATTAAAAAAAGAGTATTTAAAAAAATATTAACCAGAAAATTAATATAATATAATAATTAATAATTTTTTAAAACCGTGTTAAAAATAATGAGATTTTTTTTTTTTTTCATAAAACAGAAAGAGTATTAGTTATTCCACTATGAATTAATATTTGTCGATATCTCTCATATCACAGTTTTGCAACACATATAATGCAAAACAGAAAGAAAACCAAATAACCAATAGTCATTGGATTGATCTTCCCTAACATAAATTATTACAGTATGCATGAAACTTCGTAGCAGTCCCATCAACATCGAAGCTTTTCTTCCTTACCACCTAAGTATTGTCTTCCTCATGTTTGCACCGAATTTTTTGGCTTGACATGGCTGTCCTCTTAAATACATTTGTGTTGCCGTCCTATGAAACGCTTGTGAATTGATAAGAAGGTTTTACTCTAAAATGATTTTTTTTTAAAAAAAAATACTGATAGTTAAAGATTCAAATTACGTTAATTTATAATAATAAAATTTAAAATTATTAAATTACAATAGAATATCAGAATTTTTACAAGTAAAGATATATATATATATTAAAAATGGAGCCCACATGGGTTGGAGATGGCAGGACAGCCATTCCTTTGGGTGGTCAGATAGAGTACCTTTACCACTACTTCAGCTGTGTGAGAGGGCCAGTGGTGCAATCAATTTGCTCTCCAATTGAGATTAGGATTCTAATAAGTTTGTATGTAAAGACTAGCTATGCAAAGAAACTTGTAAAAAGGAGTCAATTCAAACTTGTAAAAAAAGCCAATCCATATATTTTAATAGGGATTTGGATCTTTTTATGTTTTTAAGGAAATATAATCGGTTATATTCTGAATTTCATTTTTAATTTTGGATTTTAGATCGAAGAAATAAAATATTAAAAAATTAAATTGTTTCTTATTTTTATGATATGCTAAATCATGACCATTCAATTTGAATTCAATAACTTAAGAACATGTAGTTGTTAAGTTTGTTGATTTTTTAAAGATGATGTGACTCTTCAATGATTGTTGTCTAGATGATAGTATTTGCTGATGGATGGTGGTCATTTTGAATTGAATACAACATTTTTTTTTATATGGAAAATTTTTCAACAATCAAATTAGTGTAACGAGAAAGAAAGTTGAAAGAAAACTAGGTTGTAAATACAAAAAAAAAAAAAAAAAGAACGATTAAATTAGTGAAATGATCCATTCATTTATTATGTACTCTGTGTCTTTTTCGATTGATAGAGGTTGATTTGATTCTCACAATTATAATTGAACTCCTTTGGTTCATTCATTTATAATTTACTTTCCGCCTTTTTCGATTAGTGGAGATTGGTTTGATTATCAAAATTGTAATTGACCTTTTCTAGAGTGTTCTATTGAAGGTGCATATACATCCATCCATCTATGTTTTAGTTGTAATTGTTGGGTTTCCCTCCTAATTGGAGGATGACCTAAAGGTTTCCCTACATGAGCTCACATGGAGTAGGAATTTTTAATCACTTGAAGGGTAATTTGGATATTTTCAAATAAACCCTCTCTTCTCTTTAATTTTAAAATTAGATTAGGAAAGAAAGTAGAGAGAAAAAAAAAAGTGAGAGTCGCAACATTAGAGAGAAAAAAGGAAGAAACTTTCAACACGGATCGGTCATGCTAAAATTGTGTTTCTTAATCATTAACCGTTGGATCGAGCTTCGATTTGATGGACACGTTTAGGAGAGACGAAGCACATTTTGAATAGTGGAGATCTTTTGAGTCTTAGAGAGTGAGATATGATGCTCGAAACAATGCTATTTTTTGATGAAATCGAACTTTTTTTTTTTTCGTATCATCTATTGATGTGGTTTGCCAAGGGTGTGTAACCTTTGATATTTATGATTGTTGTATTCCTCTAGTTTAATCTACGAGAGAACTCCTTGTATTGTCCATTATTATTGATAGTAGAAGTTATTGTGAACTTCAATCCCGTGGTTATTTTCTTCTTAAATTGAGGAGGTTTTCCATGTAAATTTTTTCTATTCCTTGTGTCATTGGTATTTTATTTTTTAGATTATTAATTACTTATTTTGGCTTGGGTATTTGGTTACAACCTATGTTTAATTGTTCAAGTAATGGTAAAGAGGTTTCGTTGTGTTACTTATGTATCTTTGCTCAACAAATGGCTCAAAGATTGGTTGCTTATTTTTATCTTGAACAATATGGAGAGTAACATTAAAAGGATAAGTTTGAATGGAACCAATTATCATATATGGAAGAGAAAAATGATATGTGAAGAGTTGGCATTTACCTATATTTGCTTCGGCTAAACCTTTTACAAAAACATATGAGGATTGAAAATTTGAGAATGAATAAATTTATGCCTTTATTTATTAGTACATTGATGATAATGTTTCTAATCATATTGCAAAGCGGTGAATGCTAAAACTTTGGAGAAAAGTTTGGAAGATCTATTTGCCAAAGAAACGGATATAACAAGATGTGCCAGTTAAGTAGTGGATGAATTACGGTATAAAGAGAGGGGTGTTTGTGGTGATCACATTAATGAGTATATGAGAATTGTTCGGCAAATGAAAGTCAAGAAAATAGAAATTGATGATGAGGTCCTTGGATTGTATTTGCTTGGCTCATTTATCGGACTCTTCGGAGTATTACATGCATCACATTGCGATTTTGCTCTGATGGGAAGATGAGCTTGACTTATGCTAGATATAAGGTTCTCGATGAAGGAGTTAGAAGGAAGAATCAAAATTCTTCTTCCAGGAATCGTGTCTTCAATTCTTGTAGAAAGGGAGAGGAGTAAAAATAAGGGGTCAGAAAGGTAGAGGCAAAAGCGGCAAGTCAGGAGGTAAGTTTGCAAATGTGGAGTGCTATTATGGGTCATATCGAAATATTATTGGAAATTAAAGAAAGATTACGAAATAAAACCAAGCGGAATATGTGATGATGGTGATGCGGAATCGAGTTAATGTAACTAATGAGTTCTTGATTACATATGATAAGTGAAGTTAACATAGCATTAAATGAGCATAGTTGGGTGGTTGACAATGGAGCTTTGGTACATCTTTGCAAGTCACGATAGGTTTTTAGCTCGTACACGTCACAGTGATTTTAGGGCAATAAGGATTAGTAACGATTGAGTTCTCAGAGATTCTTTGGCAGTAGTAGAATGTACGCGTAGAAACTCACTAGTTAGATACCTATGCTATCTTTGCGGTAAGACAACCATTATATACATAGGATTAACAATTCGTATGGTAAGATGTGAGTAGATATTTTAGTTTTAAAGATTAGTATAATCGGTCATATATTCGGCGAGCTTGTTTGATTTATAAATATTTATTAAAAAAATAATTTGTAATATTAGTATAAAAATTTATATTTGAATAATTAAGAGGTTCTTTCAAAATATTAATTAAATCATTTTATTTAAAAATATAGATTTTAGAACATGAAAAAAATAAATATCAAATAATTGATGTTATATGTGTACATATAATTAATTTCTAACAAAACTACACACACACACACACGCACGGATATATATATATATTGTATTTAGGATTTGGAGCATATAAAATAAATATAAAAAATATAAAAAAATTAGCCTAATTCTTATGGAATATATCGAAGGAAATAGATTTAAATAAAAATTATTATATAAAATTGGTTTCGATAAATTATGATACACACACACACACACACACACACACGTACAAATAAAATATGAGAATTTTTTAACTAATTATTATTTTTTTAAAAAAATTGAGTTGATTTTTTTAATCGATTATTATTTTTTAAAAAAATTAAGTCAAATTATCTAAAACACTCTTTTAGCTCTCCCCCCCATCATAATATATATATGACAAAACTATATATATATATATATATATATATATATATATATATATATCCTATGTAGAAGATTCGGAGTATACAAAATAATAAAAAAACTCACTAAATTGCATCGAATAGATCGAAGTGAATATATTTAAATAAAAAATACTATAAAATTGATTTTGATAAATTTTGATTATATATATATATATATATATATATATATATATATATATATATATATATAACTTGTGAATTTTTTAACTAATTATTCATTTAAAAAAAAACAAGCCAAATTATTTTTAAATCGATTATTATTTTTAAAAAAATCAAGTCAAATTATCTAAAACACACTTTTAGCTCTCTCTCTCTCTCTCTCACACATCAAAATTTATATACACAACAATGCTACTTTCATTTTAAAAAAATTATAAAAATAATCAGTCATATAAATTATAGTAATATATTTTAAAAAATAAAACAATCATGTTCTAAAATTTTATTTCAAAAGCCACCTAAAAAAATAAAATTTATTAACGAGATAAAATTATACAAAATTTAAAAATTAATTCATTGAGAATTTTAATAAGAAACAAACAATTAAAAAAATAAATTTTAAATAAAAAATAATATAATCAAATATATATATTCAAACTAGAATTTTAAAAAATATTATATATATTATATTACTTGTCAAACTGTATATAAAAAAAAGTAATGATCTTTTTTTTATATTTTCATACCTAATTTCATGATAAA